CCAGATGCAAGTTTAGAAGCATATGGATTGTGAGTAGACTGCAGACTGTTGGGTTCAACAGTCTGCTTGAAAATGGCTGAGTACAGCCATTTGTGTACTGCGTCTGGCTGCGGGTGAAGGCCAGATGCATTGTCAAGGGTCAGAACTTGGTTCCCCTAGGGGAACATTAAGTTCCTCGGCCCTTGATCACGAGTTTGATCAAGAGCCAGGCTCTATTCCGGGATTTGGCTGGGGGCAAAGCAACTGCCCTCAGCCTTCAGCCAGCTATAAAAGCTAGCCTACCACCCAGCAGCCTCACACTTGTGGCAATGCTGCTGGGGCATTATACTTGAGTAGATGCTGGCTGGCTGGCTGCTGGTGTGACGAGGCGAAGTGTTGGACGTCTGCAGAAGCACTTGGAGGAAGGAGGAGACAGCCATAGCCAAAGGTTGGGGGCTTCTTGCCCCACCTTCTGTGCTGTGCTGCAGGCTGTGGGGAAGTCGTAGCCTTGAGGTTGCTGCTGGTTTTCTAGGGTGGTGCAGCGGGAGCGCTGCCGCAATTGTGCGGCGGCAGCGCCGGTTCTCTTGGCGRTGCGGCGGAAGCGCTGYCGAATTCTTGCAGCGGCAGCACCTGTTCTCTTGGCGGTAYGGCAGAAGCGCTGCCGAAATTGTATGACGGCAGCGCCGGTTTTCTTGGCKSTACGACSGAAGCKCTGCCGGATTCTKGCGGCGGCARCACCGGGTTCCTTGACGGTACKGCCGAGGTGGAAGTGCACCTTGGGAYAGGAAGAGTGTGGTGATCGTTTTGTTGAGGACGTTGCARCATGTGRCACTTRAGGGAATGGTCAAGGCCGTAACTATTTTTTTTGCGGCACGCTGAACGAGCGGGGACTGGATCCAGGACCACTAAGTATTGCGGCARGCAGGTGATAACCTGMCTTGGTACTTGGTGGGTTGAGTTGGCGCTGTTCTTAGTGAGAGTTGTGACATTGAGGCTGTGGGATTTAGKAGTGGGATACTCTCCTCATCGGCGAGCCCACTTTTGTGTTGGTGAGCAGCGYCTAAGTCAGTGTTGGTGCCTGAAGGAAGGGGCGGCTYATCTTTGTGAGCARCAGAGCTTTTCTTGAGAAAATACTTGGCTTTCTTGAGTGAGCCTTCACAAAATTCACTCAAGGTCAGTGCGACTYAGCTCCTTTGCACACCCGCGTGAACCCACACCCTGCATGACCTCGCTTTGAATTCAGGGGAAAGGGTARAGTGAGAGTGTGATGTCATGCGTGTGGARAAAGGGYTGACTTGTTTRAGGGATGGATGAATCTCTTGATTGTTTCTTTTCTTGGTTGTGCAGGTAGGTTGGGGGATGCATGTGAGGAGGGATCAGCATTGTTTGCTCGAGATAATAATGGGGATGCTTACCTCTCCCCCACTCAACSTGAATGCATGTGACGGAAAAGAGGAGGAACAKAAATAATAACGAGAGTGCGAACGGATGGGTGYCGGAAGAACAAAGGCCGTSGRAAAATTAAAAGAAGAGAAGACAAGGGMRCACCTTAGTATCTTCCCAAGGACTTCCCCATTCTATCCCGAACGACCATTATCCTTCTATGCCCGGCTAAAAATATTTTACTTYTTTCTCTTCTTAATTCGTCTAAGTCGACYCTTAGCCGGGAGGGCATAGAGCGGTCGTCTGTACCTAGGGTCTAGGCTTCCTCTCTCTAKGAGGTATCTGAGGCGGGGGTTCGTTGCCTTAGGGGCCGGYCCTGTTATCGACTCGGAGCGGACCGCTWATGCGGGGGGATACCATGCTGTTGCGGTGGAGCCAGCCCAACTTCTGAGTCCTGAACAATGTGTTCGGGCGAGGGGGAGGGGTATTCCAAACCACTTCCTAGAGAGTAGGRTGTCTTGAAGYTAGGGGCAGTCGCCTCCTCGTGCTTCAGAGAAAGGGGAGGYTGAATCTAGTACCCGGCTGGGTGGCCGCTTTAGGAGCCACCTAYGTGTGGGAGGGYTGGCGCCACAAGARGCCCAGCCCGTGATTCAACTAGTGTTAAAAAAGTGCAAATAGGCACTACTTCGCGGACGGACYGTGACACAAGAATCACGGCCCGAAAAGGGAAGTGAAGATTGAACATRGAAGTGRGTATATCTGAGTTATTTTRACAAAGTTACCGCTTCGTTGTCTAGATGTTTGCGGAGACAGTGATTCTCCGATCGTTCGGCACACGCGAGGCAGCGGCTAATTGGTTAGCAATGCCGACACGATCCCGCGCCGGCATGACACGGAAAGGAAGGCTGGTGTTCAACCCCCTACACGTTTACTCGGAATGGGACATGCCCCGATTCTGGGAAGGGAGCGCGAGGAAACCACCGCGGAGTTATATTTTCTTGGTCGAGCCAGACCAACATATTAGTCGATATGACTTTGCGCCTCCTAATCCATCACGAGATTACGGAGACATGAACTTAGTTGTGGTTCACGAGGACTGTCCAGAAGTAGAAAACATTCATGAGGTTAGAGAGATGTTTCTCTATATTGTTTTCCATTTGAATGATTTGCAAGGTCCGTTCGGCTCCCTTCATCATGTGAGACGGGTCCGAGTGAATAGATTTAATATCATTCGCTCGGAATGTTTCGGCGTCACCGCGTTTTATGACGAGGCTTGTGAAATTTATGAGCGCCTCTTCTAACAAGTGGCTTCTTCGGTATGCAGATGCCTAGCGGACGGCGGGACTTCACCCAGGCCAGATATCTACTGATTCGCGACACTACGGACGAGGAGCTGATTCGGCGAGCGGAGCGACTATTACTGGCTCGAGATGGAGTGCCCACACGTTGGGTTGGTTTCATTGGCCTGCTCAGTGATGGGCAGGGATTTTTCCCTAACTCGCGCGCAGATGTTCGTGTCAATGTGGCCCGATTTCCGGACGAAGTTCACGGATACACCTTGTAGTTCCATCGCGCAAACGACCTCCAATGCCTTTCTCGGGTCATTGTGAGCGTCAAAATTACCCTATCCGGGGAGCGCTACGGCATCATCCGGATTAAAGAAACCACTACCACGCACCTGTTTTGGATGCGCCACCGTTTCTCGCCATAGTTTGGAGGCTCGCCTCACGGGTGGTTTCTCTCTATGATACGCGGAAGGTCCGAGTTATGCGAGGCGGACGTGTCTCCACCTTGACTTTTGACGACGAGGAGCTTACGCGACTCGACCGAATAGAGGTAGAGGCCCGTGAGGGCCGACAGGTTTATCCTGGCTGAGCGCACCCTCTCGAGTCARGTGCAGTGGTAAGTGGTTCTTTTGTAGGGYCACATCTACGTGACTCTACAAGGGTAATAATAACAAAAAAAACAACAATCTTGCGTAGGTAGGYSAACCAKATGGATAGTATCTGGATTACCCCKATGATGGCACTATCRTGCTTATGCAYTGAGGGGTAATCGATCGCTGAAAAATGAGCTGAGWAAAATAAAAACCGAACACCTGAGAAGGTGTCGAACAAAAGGGCGAGGGCRAAGTATCAGGAGATGAAACATCTYCATGCCAAGTATCTGRTGTTGGGGATGGGTACTTYRTCATTCGTGGAACGGAGASAGTAATKATTGCYTAGGAGGACGGATCGACCGACARAATTGTCAGTCGCTCCCCCGAATAGATGTATGCGGTACGASAATATGGTCGAACCGGGAGTTCAAACACCGACCAGGTGCCAGATCACTTGTTGRTATGCATGGTACCAGCGATATTTACTTATATAAGCTGTGCGTGATGGATCTTCCGTCTTCAGACGGCAGTAGCATTGTCTCTCCGGTCATGCAAGCAGGAAATGATAACCTTGGCARGTCGTCTCGTGAAGTCGAAATGTTGTTTATAAGTATGAGATTATAATGGTACTAGGATTATACATTGGATTTCATGTTTGGTCGAGGCCGTCCTAGTCGACTGATGCTCGTTCGTACCGAGAAGATCAGCGCCCTCGGGAACGGACGACGTTCGGGTCCACTTGGCGTTAACCAAGTGTACCTATACTCCAGCGAGCGAGCAAGCGCCCTCGGCTGACCTACCTCTGCAATTGCATGTAAAAGCTTTCGCATGTGGGTCGGTAGCTCGGCGGGGATACGCCCCTAAGGGTGGTGACAGCCCCTTAGGGAAGGTAAGATGCGCCCCGCGAGAACCTATCTTGTCGCAGGGGACCGTGGGATGTACAGCTGGCGCACCCGGCTAGAGCGGCGAAGGGACAATGCAATCTCGTCCGTCTCGACGGTTCGCGGGATTATTTATGTGTCGTCCTAAGTTGTCTCTCGATCATGTTTTTCTAACTCCTGCGTGACATAGCCGGGAGGGCCCTCGTTCAGGCGAGGGCCGATGAGATCGACAGGTGGCGCTGTTGCCGGGGATGACGGCGAACTACCGTCGTCCCTGGTGGAACGACACTCGGGAAAAGGATGGTTATGGAGATTTTAAGTATTGTGTATTATTTGTTTGGATTGAAAGTAGTCAGTGGTTATTAATGTCTGGGAAAAGAAAGAAGGTAAGGTTTGGAGTGAATTGTTGGAATTTATTTGACACTTGGACATGTGTGGTTGTCGTGTTGATTCTCTCAAGATGACGGGAGAAAATGTTGATCCCGCAAATAGTAATGCGGGGGATCGTCGCAACGATATTCTGGAACTCGCACGAGCCATTCGTGAGGCTGATAATCAGACGGCACAGTTGCCAAAGGTTCAAGTTCCCCTCTTCGATGGCACCAATGCCTCGGCATGGGCGGACAAGTTTGAACAATTGGGCAGTTGCTGCGAATGGTCGAGTGAGAAGATGCTTCAAATGGTGAAGCGATATTGTATGGTCGAGTACAAAGATGAGGTGTCGGAGTTGGTGCAAGCTTCGCACGACTGGCCGGACTTCAAGGCCAAATTATTGGACAAGTACCAGTTGGGGGATTAACTGCTCGATCTGACGGACTTACGGAAGTTTAGTCGTCGGAAGTTTGGTACGGCCAAGCAGTTTCTTACGGAGTTTGAGGGGGTTGCGCGCTTAGTGCCTGACCTTCCAGATAAGGATCGGTGTCTCATCTTCCTCGAAAAATTTTCAGAAGTTGAGCAGCGAGAACTGATGAAGGATATGACTGGGCGATACGACTGGCCAAAGATAAAGGAAAATCTGTTGGCCGGAAGTTTCGACCAGATGCTTTACCGTCTTCTGAAGCAGCAAAAGGAGGACCGCGAGAAGGAAGGGGTAAGCGCGGACAAGGATCAAGCCGTTTACAAGACTCTGACTGACATGCGGAATATGATGGCGGATATGAAGGAGGAAAGGCTAAAGCTACAGGTGATGATGGTCCAGACAAAAGGTGGGAAAAGGAAGGGCAAAGCACCCGTTGTAGAGGAGGTGAGTAGTAGCAGCAGTGAAGAGGAAGATAAGGAGGAAGTGGAGCCCGCTCGAAAATTGACCAAAGCAGAACGGAAGGCCCTGAACCAGATACGAGGAGGGCAGGGCACTAGTAAAAAGTTGCGGAAGAATAATGGAGGAGGTGGACAAGGAAGTGATCAGGAACAGGAGGCTCCAGCCCCTCCTCAACAGCCCCAACCTCAGGCAGGAGGTCGGGGCCGAGGTCGAGGTAGAGGTCAAGGCAATGGGGGAGGCCGCGGAAATGGGGGCGGCCGAGGCAATTGGCGGAATTGGTTTTGCAAGTACTGTGGCCAAGATGGACATGGGATACGGTTTTGTCAGACCGTTACCAAAGATGAAAACGATGAGGTTATATATACGAATATCCGAGGCGAGGTCTACGACTTCGAAGGAAATCTCATCGACCCCAATGTGGAGGGAGGAATGAGAAAGGAAGCTTTCCGACGCATGGGGCGAGATCTTCCAGCAACTTTTCGACTGGCTTCTCCGGAAGAAGTCGAACAGATTGAGCTGGAAGCGACGATGGAGTCATTGACAATCGAGGGTGCCAAGGTCGGAGATGAAGGGTTGAGCAAACAGGAGGAATAGATACTGCAGCGAGCTCAAGCAGTGGTCAGAAAAATGACTCAATGCAGGGAAACTTTTGTTCAAATATGCGCCGACATGAATGAAGAATGGCCCGGGCTTCCCCAAGTTTTTTTGTTTGGAGAATGGGACAGAGACGGCCAAGGAGGCCTTAATGATGTTAGTGCACCACAACATGGATCGCCGTCGGCAGGGTGTTTGATGGCCACCACGGTCTTGTCCCGTCCTGCGTTCAAGCGACCTGCCACTGCTGGTCTCCCACAAACTCGGAGGGCTCGAAGGCCGTCGCGGCCAAGGGCAGCACCAGAAAAAGGGTCAAGTCAGCCTCGGGAAACCGAGACGATTTCGATTGAAGAAGACGATGGCGAGGAGGATGAATTGCTGCGAGCAGAAGATGAGAGGCAGGCCAAACAACGAGCCATGGTGAGGGAGCCAGAAACGGGCAAGGCCGATATTGGGGAAGGTGAGTTGAAAAAGAAGAAGCAAGTTTACACAATCCCAGTGGAGCAAGGGCTGGATATCGAGCAAATCGTGGACCGGATTCTGGAGAGCCAACGCGATTTGTTCACGCTCAAGGAATTCTTGGCCGCGTCACCGAAAATCCGAGAGGAGTTCAGACATCGACTGTCAAGGAAAAAGGTGATGACGGTTAAGATGAGTGATATCTTTCCTCGAGAGATTAGTTGGGCTCCGCCTGGGACAAAAATGGACTGGCACTGTGTAGCTACTGGGTTGTTGAAAGTGCAAGTTGGGCCGTGTGAATATTCGGCGCTCATCGATGATGGGGCTGAAATGAACATTATACGAGAAAAAGAAGCCATGGGGGCAGGAGTGAACATCAATCGAGCGGATACTGGGTTTCTGGTGGGTGTAAGTGGGATAACTCCCTTTTGTGGAACAGCGAGTGACGTGACGGTACAAGTTGGTAAAGTCAAAGTCCGTTATTATTTCTATGTGCTACCCAGGGTTGAGCATGCCGTGTTGCTGGGTAGAGCTTTTCTATGTCGATCAGAGTCCATCATCTTCAACAAGCACGATGGTACTATGATCGTGGTTTTGTGTGACCCCGTATGTGGCTATTACGAGGTGCTGAAGTGTGAGAACACAAGACCAACCAACTCAAGGAACCGACTCAATCCAGGGTCCTACTCTTTCACGGAATCCGAAAGACTCAGGAGGGAAAATGGATCCCTCAGAGAAGAGAGCGATCCCCAAGAATTCTCCCTTGCTCTGCCCAATATCTCTCAAGCGATCGAGTTCGTTGCCACAGACTCGTCTGTGGATCCCAAGTTGGTCCAAACATTGACAGAGATTGTGGCAGGAGAAGGCGGGACTGGTAGGATGTATCTTACCTATCGGCCCGACAGGTCTTCTGAGGGTGATGCACTGACGGAGCCAGAAGCCAAGAAGGGGCCTTTTTTAGAGGTGGGCGACTTGGAGTTGGACCAAAACGTAAGTACAAGAGAGTAGGCGAGAAAGCTCGGTCAGTGTCCGTCTTGATCACACAAGAAGAAGAAGTGTATTATAAAGAAGAAAGAGAATGGATCAGGATGAGGAAGGAAGAGAGTGCGAAGGCGCCATGTCGATTGACGGAGGAGAGGATGAAGAATATGATCATTGGAGAGGAAGGGTCTCTTACTGAGAAGGAGGTGGACTTCCTTGTCAGCGTCATGAAGAAAACCCATCTGGCTTATGCCTTCGATGATGATGAGCGAGGGAGTCTTGACGTTGACCTGATTTCAATGATCAGGATTCATACGGTACCTCACGAGCCGTGGAACATACGAGGCCCGCGTTATCCGAATCCGGATGATCATCGTAGAGTTGTCGAATATTTGGACGGAGAAATTCGGACAAAGGTCGAAGATTACTCGTATGGACCATATGCGTCCCCTTGGTTTTGTTTCATCAAGCCAAATGACGTATTGCGATGGGTGCAGAATTTGCAGAAGCTGAACTCAGTGACAGTTCGGGATGCCGGAGGACTTCCACATGCCGATCAACTGTCTGAGTCATGCGCAGGCAGACCTATCATCACTCTCATTGATTTGTACTCAGGATATGATCAATTCCTTCTCTACACGGCAGACAGGCCGATGACGGCCATGCATACGCCGAGGGGATTAATTCATATGTGTGTGGCGCCTCAGGGATGGACGAACGCTGTAGCAATTGTTCAGAGATATATGATGAGGGTCATGCAGCCACTTTGTCCGGACGTGACCTCACCTTATATCGATGACTTGGCCATACCTGGGCCGCGCGTGAAGGATAAGACGGAGGTGCTGCCAGGCGTTCGAAAGTTTGTTTGGGAGCACGTTCGTAACGAGGAGAAGGTCTTGTCCAAGTTAAAGGAGTACAACCTCTCCGCCAGTGGTGTCAAATCTCGGCATTGTATGCGTGAGGCAACTATCTTGGGCTTCTTGTGCAATGAGAAGGGCCGTCGGCCAGATTCCAAGAAGAAAAACAAGATTCTGGAATGACCGACTCTGCTTAAGCCCATTACTGATGTGCGCAGTTTCTTGGGGACTTGCGGATTCTAACGTATCTTCATTTGCAAGTTCGCAGTAAGGGTGGAGCACCTACGGAAGTTGGTGCGTAAAAATCAGGAATGGGAATGGGGTCCAAAGCAGCAGGCGGCAGTCGACGACATCAAGGCACAGTTCCAAGAAGAAGGGTTGATCCTAGGGGTTCCGTACTTTGACAATGACCCGAATCGGCCCTTTGTGGTTGAAACGGATGCAGGCCCCACAACATTGGGTGGAGTCCTCATCCAAAAGGATAGAGAAGGGCGAGAAAGGTCATTCAGATTTGAAAGTCGAACGCTGAATAAGGCGGAACGGAAGTATTCCCAATTTAAGAAGGAAACCCTTGCAGTGCTTCATTGCTTCAGGATCTTCCGAAACTACGTATTTGGAAGACGGTTCGTCCTGCGGGTTCATCCGACCGCCCTGGCGCAGTCGTGGAAGAATTATTCTCCCTCGGATCCAACTATTGCTCGATGGTTGATCTATATCTGGATGTTCGATTTCGAGATCGAGCGTATTGCGGGAACACAAAATCGAGCCGACGGATTGAGTCGGATCGAGTGGGACTCCTCGAGAGATCAGGTAAAAGACTCGGTCCCTGTGGATGGGTTTCTGGAGACAGACGAGCAACAATTGAGTATCAGTAGTTGGGAATATATCACTAATGCTTCGTCCCGACCTGGGAAGTCGATCTAGAGTCCGCCGAGTTGTTATCAAAAGTGTTCAGAACTTGTGATGAGTGAGCCCTTTATTGAGGAGGATCCTTAGAGCGAACTGTCTGCTGAGCAGATGATGGGGTTGGAGCTGTCTGACCCAGTACGACATTCGGAAGAGCCTCTTACGATTGAAGGAGGACATGAGCAAGGCGACGAAGTCCTCAGGACCTCTGGAGGAATGGTATTCCTTGTTAATGCGTTGATACAAGAAGATCGCGGCAAGTTAATGTTGGAAGAAGTGGAAGGTAGTGAGATCAAAGAAGCCTTTCGTGAGGAGGAATATGATGGGACTTATAAGAAGATTGGGCTTTGGTTGAATGGGGACATGAATGAGGCAGAGATAGAGCCAGAAATAAGAAAAAAGGCAAAGGGTTTTGTCGTTCGACAGGGGCATCTCTTCAAAAAATCTGACGATGGTACGCCTAAGAGAGTGGTGTGTGGGGTTCCCAGACAGTTGGATGTGATTGCAGCCCTACATGATGGAGTGGCAGGTGGACATCGATCTGCACAAGTGACCTTGAGAAAGATCCAACATCTCTATTTTTGGGAGGTATGGGTAAGATGGTGGCAGAGTTCTGCAACTCGTGCGTCCCCTGTCAGAAACGTTCGAATCTCCGCTATGTTGAGCCACTTAATCCACGATATGTGGTTGAGCCAGGAGCGGTTGTGCACCTCGACCTGGTCGTTATACCACCCGGACTTAATGGGTACAGGTACATATTTGATGCGAGAGACAAAATTACCGGGTTTGTTGATGGGCGTGCAATCCGTGAGCGAACCGGAAAAATTTTGGCAGAATGTATCGAAAAGTTTTACCTTCGGTACCCATTTGTTCGGGAATTTGTGATGGATCGAGGAGGTGAATTTCGGGCGAAAGAAGTTCAGGCTCTGCTGAGGAAGCTGGGAGTGAACTATAGTTATACCACTAGAGCGGGTGCTCCGGTCGAACGTGGGCATGCCACCTTGACCAATTGGCTAGCTAAATGGTGTGATGGCAAGCCATCAACATGGCCCGTCTATCTCAGAGCTGCTATATTTGTTGAAAATATAACCGTAAAACGGACTACGGGATATGCTCCGGTTACGTTATGGTTTGGACGACATGCTACATTTCCAATCGAGAGTTTCCTGACCACATGGCAAAAACAGGATATGAAGGCTATGCTTTCTACAGAAGAGTTGCTAGACTTGAGGGCCAGACAAATACAGGCGACTGAGGAAAAAGTTGTAGAGGCTGCTGCTTCAACTGCGGACAGCAGACGGGCGGACAAAGTTAGATGGGATAAGCAACCCCGTGTTAGAAAGGAGTCGTTGGAAGTTGGGGATATTGTCATCCTCTATGACTCTTCTCTTGAAAAGCAGTGGTCGAGAAAATAAGATAATCGATGGATGGGACCATATTGTATCATTAAGAAAACAGAGCACGGAGCATACGAGATTGAGGAGATGGATGGAGCACGTGGGCGAGATTGGGTTTCAAGCTTACGCTTGAAGAAGTTTGTTCATAGGGGCTTAGATAATGTCTTACTTTTTTTATCAGACATTGATACCATTAGCTAATTTGATTTTATGATTAAGTATTTGTAAGATATATTTTCCATGCAATGGACAGATACATATGGACTTGTAATGAATTACTTGTTGATGTCATTTTTGTCATTATTCTTCGTTCTTGAGCAAGATAATTGATGTGCATAATAATTTTTTCAAGTCTTGCAAAGATGATTCTCTGAGCATACATCTCTTTTATTTCTTATGTGGAATGAGTTTTGCTTGTGAGGGATTGATTTGAATCATTTGTGCAAAGTCATGACTTAATGTGTAAAATGTGTATAAAATTTTGGAACATGTGACTTCCTGAACGATAAGTATTCGTTCTGTAGGCACATGGTTTAATAAATATAATAAGTTTATATGTAATACCTAGTCCTTATTGTGTCTTGATATTCCTGAAAGATGTGAGCCTTGTAGGTGGTAGTGAGGCTCGTGCCGGAACTTGGTTCCTGGTCTACAACGAGATGATGTCATTTTTCTTGAAAGAGGGCGATGACTATACTATCTCCGAAAAGAAGGATGGTGTCGTAATCCTGTTGACACCTCACCTATGGTGGGGAGCGATTGCTGCTTATCACAGGGGTGGGGTTGGTCGTCCATCCTTGTGATATGCAGGATCGCCGCGTCCTTATGATCCTCGTCTGACCAACTTGGACTATAGGGATGGGGTTGTCTCGCCCTGTAGACGTGACATTGATAGGGTTGCAATACTGGAATCGGAGGGAATGTGGTGAGGCTCGAATCTAAAGCGGGGCTTGATGTCGAGATGTTATCCTTTGTGGAGGATTACACCACTCCTCGACGCAGTCACATAGAGTTTGGGATATTAGGACATAATAATCCTAGGTATTTGTAAAGTTGCACAATCGGATGGGTTATGGAACTCATGTAAAGGACTTAAATAAAAGGTTCTTGTATTGAATGGCTAGTTCAGATCATGTCTGAATGATTATCATAGGTTGGGTTATGGAGGCCTGTCAGGGGTTATTCCTGGCTCATTCTGGGAACTAGCTGAAGGTTAATACGGGACTTCCAGAAGGGATGGTGGAAAGCCGGAGCCTTGCTATTATCATCCTCGACAACCGTGACTGTAGTATAGTACGAGTATCCTTGTGTTACGTGGGAGGTCCAGGTTAAACTCCTGGCGGCACGTGAGTGTGTTGAGGTGTTGTGGATGCATCCCCATGGACATGAGAGACCCGGGTTAAATTCCCGGCGGTGATGGTTGCTTGCCAGATGATTAAAATAATGTTTTCCAACCAAGTGAATTTTGTTAGCCAAAACCTTGAAAACTAAGTCCTTTGAATTTTGGGCTTCTAGGGGCTGAATCGGGGCCTGAGTCTCAAAATTTTGGGCTTTCAGGGGATGAATCCGGTACCCAACCGATGAATGCAGAATGATTGTAAATTTTGGGCTTCCAGCGGCTGAATCTGGGCCTGAGTTTCAAAATTTTGGGCTTTCAGGGGCTGAATCTGGTACTAATCCGATGAGTGCAGAATGATGGTGAACTTTGGCTTCGAGGGCATCACTCGTTTAATAGTAAGGGGTCCGTTTTTTCGGATATCCCCTGTTATAGTATCTAGGATTTTATTAAGATTAAAGGATACTAAGGGAAGTATCTGCAAGATTTAATATTAAGAGCACCGACCACGTGAACGACATGGAAGTCGTTCAATGGGGCCCGAGAATGCTGTCGGGGCAGAAAACTTGACAAGGGTATCTGCCCGTGTTTTTCAACGTCGGACGCTGTCTGACGTTTTCACTTAATTAAAAGACTTGATGAGATTGACGTTGCCAGAGTTTATCCAGACCAGCGCTATGACTGAAAGACTTGAACCTTTTTGAACCTGACGTCGTCGACGCAAGACGGCATCGACGTCCATATGAGATAACGGGGGCCGGTACTGTTGTCCGCGGGTTCGACAAGGCCGCAATAGTGTGCGGTCATGAGAAAACTAAAGTTAAAACTTAGTCTACCTATAATAAGGTCGCGCGACTTAACAGTCGCGCGATTCAGGGCCTAAACGGGCCAAAAAGGGGTCGCAGCGGTAAGGTTGGACGGCGGCGTGCAGGAACGGTTTAGGGTCCATAGGGCTTTTGCGCCAAGGACCAAGGTCGAAGGCGTCGGGGCCAGCCAGGTAGGGCAGCCGTCAAGGCTGTCGGCTGTCGACCCCGCCGGCTAGCCACGGCAGCAAGCCGGCTTAGCAGGCATAGCCTGCTAGGCACCGGAGGGAGGCCTGCTGGGCACTAGAAGCCGTTCATATAGAAGGGCTGCTCCTTCCATGATGTGAGAAGGAGCTAGCCCAGTAGGTACCGCCACCAGACTATTGCCCTGCAGACATGGGGATCGAGCCCGACTGACCGTACTATAGGGCTAGCTCCGTTTGGAGCAGCCGTGACTAGACAAGGGGCGCGACCGATTTTCGGTCGTGCGATCTTCGAGATCGCACCGCTGAAATCAGTCGCGCCGGGGTGAAATGGCCCTGCGCAAGGATGACACGCATAAATCGAGAAATGGTCCGAATTTGTTTTTTCTTCTTCGAAAAAAAAAAAAAAAAAAAAAAAAAAAAAAAAAAAAAAAAAAGACAAAAACTTACCTGTTCTGTAGCTAGATGCGTAAGCATCCAGGTACGGGTGTGATGGAGACAGCTACAATGTCGAGGTAAGTCGGGTCCCTTCTCTTTTTTTGGTTTTCCTTCTTTCTTT